TCATCAGTACAACAAAAAGACAAATAAGTATAAATTAAATTTATAATATATATATATATATATATATATATATATATATACAGATATTCTACGGGGGGAGAGAAAAAATTGGAGTGGGTGAAAAAAACAGACAGAAGCAAAGTAAAGAAAAGTGTAAAGGAAGTGAATTGAGCAAAATTGTAAAAATCAAAATTTGTATCTAAAATATTTGAGAAAGTCCTTCTCCGCCAGCTTCCGAATCACCTCATTTGGTGTGATTTGCTTGAGCCTTTCCAGTCAGCTCACAGGGTCACTCGACCAAGACAGATTTATTAGACAACAACAATTTGTGTCAATAAAACAATATAAGGCAAGCTTTAATGATAATTTTACAGAATACAAAACTGTACGGTACATTTCGGCACATTAATTCATCAGTACAACAAAAAGACAAATAAGTATAAATTAAATTTATAATATATATATATATATATATATATATATATATATATATACAGATATTCTACGGGGGGAGAGAAAAAATTGGAGTGGGCGAAAAAAACAGACAGAAGCAAAGTAAAGTAAAGTGTAAAGGAAGTGATTTGAGCAAAATTGTAAAAATCAAACAGGAAAAAAGACATGGCAGTTAGGTAAAATTGTGGATTTTGTTTATTCCATATGGAGACAACGTACCAAATCGTGTTATTAATTTATTCTCCATGTATATCCTATCTGTTGTGCTACTAGTATACATTATACCAGTGACTGCGATGTCTGAGATACCATCATGGTTAGGGCTATTGAAATGTTTGGAGACCGGACAGAGAGCTTGTTTATTTATGTTATAGAGGTGTTCTCTGAACCGGTCTCCAAGGCGACGACCTGTCTCTCCTACATATACTAATTTACCACACTTTTTGCAAATGATGGTGTAAATCACGTTGCGACTTGTGCAGGTAAAGACGTCTTTTATTTTGAGATATTTCCAGAGGGAAAGTGATCTTGTCAACCTCAATCACATAGGGACATGTGTTGCAACGGCTACGGTTGCATCTTTTGGTGCCTTTATGTGCTTTGATAGCGGGGAGGTGGCTTCTAACTAGCATGTCCCCAAGGTTATTGTCCCTCCAGAAGTGAAAAGAGGAGGTTTTCTGAAAATCTGATTGGTGACCGGTTCTGAAATTAGAATTGAGCGGTTTTTTAGAACCATAAAACGAGCTTTAAAGTTATGGGGATAAAAAGTTAAAATAAATTTAGACCTATCCATAGCGTCAGAATGAGTAGCTTTAAAAGAATCCAGTCTAGTCATGCCTTTAACTCGAGTGATAACAGCTTTTAAAATTTGCTCAGGATATAACATGCGTCGGAAAAAATCCAACATTTCAGACGTCCTTTCCCAAAAATCCTCATCATTGCTGAGTCTTCACAGTCTCAGCATCTGAGAAAAAGGGATGAAGTTTTTACATGATTCAGGATGGGATGATGAATACAGCAAGAAACTATGGTTGTCTGTTTTCTTATAGAAAATGGACGTAGATATGATATTCTCTTTAAGGAAAATTTTTAAGTCCAAAAAATTGATATTACTTTCATGGATAGTACTGCATAGGGATTACAAATATGAACATAACACAACTGAAATGTTGTATTAACTTTATTGGACATTTTCATCCAACAATCAAATTCACTTCAAAAGATCCATGAAAATAAACTTCATTATTATTATTATTATTAAATATAAATGTAACCAAGTTTTGTTAACGCCATTGATTTCCTTAATTGGTAAGCATGTTTATTTTTAAAAAGAGAATTTGGGATTTCTTTTTTCACAAATGTACTACCATAGGACTTAAATATATTGTCTTACACGTAAAAATGTGCATATCTATTTTTTACCTCCGATATGTATGTACCCAAGAAGATTAATTATTAATCAAATCCATTACTTTATTTTGTGACGTATCGTGTGCTGATTTGGACAAAATAGTCATACACATATATTTAAAAAGAGAATGCATCGTCTAATTGTTTCACAAATGTAATAACATAGAATTTAAATCCATTGTCATGCACGTAAAAAATGTACACATGGTATTTCCTAACTCCGATGCATACGTGCAAAAATGGTTAGTTATTTTTCAAATCATTCCTTTATTTTGAGACGTATCTTGTGCTTCCTGGGGCAAGAATTACCAACACCCTTCTCCCTCCAGAATTAAATAAAATTAATGAAATCTTCCACCGGATTGTAGTATCTAATACCCAAACTAATATATTTGGCACTTCATTTGAATCGTTTTTATTTGGATGAGTGATAAGTGGATTAGTGAATGCTTTAATGGCTATAGAGTTTCGATGCACTGATTGACCTAAAAAAGCATTTTCTTTTTCCAAGTATATTTAAATGTTAAGTGTTTATAACGTTATAAATTTAATAAAAATATAATTTTGGAATTAAAAACAAAGTAAAAACTTATCAAATTTTAACAATACACAGTTAAAATGTGTGTGTGTTTTATTAACAAGTTAAAGCAATCAATTTGTATTTCTTAATTGTACTTTTAAGAAGGGGAAAATGCATCATCAGTCTTGTAACGCGCTGTTATTTAATCAAAGAGGCTGTGACGTCATTTGCAGGTTTATTTAGAACAAATGAATTTTAATTTTATTTCGCAATATTAACAACGCCATAAAAACAACAAATGCTTGGGTTTCCCGATAAATGTGATTGCGGTGTATGTCTTTGAACATTATTTTTCATATATAATTTTTTCATAACTTTCAAACGCATATAAAATGCTTAATATAGTTCCTTAGTTGTTACTATAAATTATTTGTAATTTGTAATAATACTATTTAAACTTTTGCTAAAACAAAGGCAGATATATAATATTTTTGAGCATTTAAATTTATTCGATTTCCGTAAAATAATAGAAAATAACTATGATCGTTTTTAAGAATCCGAACGTATTCGGATCTTTCGGGTCTTTTGCGTTACGGTCAGCAGAGGTAATTCGTATTATATATATTCTTGAAATAAAAATTAAATTTACACAAATTTTGATAGCAGAGTTGAGTTGCCTTGTGCCTTGCTAACTCAACGAATATATATATCATATGGATCCATCCATCCATCCCTTTGACATTCCAGCTCTTTTAGGGCTTTGACCTGCCCAGCCACTTCCTTCCACTCAGAACTGTGCCGCTAAAGCTATGTAGGGCTTTGACCTGCCTAACCTCTTCCTTCCACTCAGACTTGTGGCGCTAAAGCCCATGTTGGGCTTTGACCTGCCCAACAATGCCTTCCACTCAGACCTGTTGCGCTACAGCCCATGCAAGACGTTGGCCTGTTTCACCACTTACTTCCACCTGGACCTGACTGATGCTTGTTACAAAAAGTGTTTTCTTACCACTTACCCTGTTTCCGGCCGATATTCTTTCTTTTATTACTGTTGGTAATTCATTTCTATAATTTAATAAAGATCCCAGGTATTTGAAGTGATTTACCTTTTCAAAAGTGTGGTTTCTAATCTTAGTGGACTAGTTACATATGGGTAGGTCAGAATAATACCCGCGACGACCGATACATCGAAAGGACAGGAACATTTAGCAACCGTTGCGTGAAACTACGCATCACTGATCACATGCTACGAGTCATGTATCATGAAAAGAGAGAGAGAGAGGCAGAGAGACACTTAAGGAAGTTCTTAGACAAGGTTTTTGTGTTTGTGGATGCGTGTGTGTGTTTGTGTGTGTGTGTGTTTGTGTGTGTTATTGGAGTGCTGGATGTGTACTCTCTACTTTTACAAAAAAGAAATAGTAATACATTTTAAAGCATATTGCCACTTTGCCGAGTACTCCAAAATCGTGTTTCTAGAAATTGTGTTTTTAAGATTTCTGCTTGAACTTATAATCGTACAAATTGGTGTATCTATCAGCAGACTATTCACATGGCAGATGCCAGGAGAGGGGAAGAGGGGGGGGGGCTGTCTTTTTGTGGACTGAGTAGGAGTTGTGAGTAAACAAAAACAAATGTCTACGAGAGACTGTTCTTGTTGCAAGCATGTTCAATGTACACATGGTGCTTCCACAAATTAGTACATTTACAAGTTTTACATTTTTGGTGTCCTGTCGATTACAAACAGCCAGCAGCCATTAGCTGGGTTTAAGAACTTAAAATATCAGTCTTGAAAGACTTATAGAGTAAAATGGCAGTTTTCTCAAGCAAAGGTTTAGTACGTGTGTCCACGTCATTTGATCGTTTTAAAATATATTCTACTTATTTGTATTTTGGATTTAAGTTATGGTAATAATTCAGTGAAAATGCTGTTTATTTTACCACCTGACAGCAAAAATCCATTGGTTATTGTGTTTTGGGAGAAATAAAATTTCATTCATTACCAAAAGAAACATCACCATCCTTCATTCATAACCAAATTAAAGTCACTTGCAACTACTACAATTTGATTGTGTGCCTCTATTAAACCGACCAGTTCCAGTGTTGTCACAACAAAAAATTATGTTTACTGTAAAAAAAAAATGAAATATTATCATGTATCAAGTGACCTTACATTAGCCTAAACACTTTTTTTTTCAATTTGGGGTAACTGATTTCTTTTCACCGACCTCTGCTTCCACACATCGCTATAAATTACTGAACCAAATCAATCAGCAAGTTTTAGCGTTCACGCGTGTAGTGATGTAGTTGTCCACTGAACCGAATCATCCAGCTAGTGTTTGATTTTCATGCTTGTGTCATGCTGTATTCATGCTGTATTCCACAGTACATTATCCCAATCATTGCGGTGTTAACTCATGTTTCGCCGTGTTTGGAATTATTGATCGCCAATATAGATCTGTTACTGAAATACCGAGGTTAAGTCTTTGTTGCGTCGCCTGACATATCGGATTTCTTACCTTGGGTAACGTTTGTTATGTAAATCATATACAATTGTAATTGATTTGGGTTAGTAGACCTCAGTACCCCTTAAACTGTCACACCTTATAGAAGTGGCATGTGTGTATTTTGTAATGGATTAAGTTTAAGATCCAACTGAATATTAAGGAGCGTGTATAAGAAGTGGTAAAAAAGCTTGCACTACTAGTTCTACCTATGGTGGAAGTACCAATCACTATTTTACAAATTTCCTTCTAGATCTTGCTCGAGACATTGTTTTATAATCTGATTACTCTAGGAAACTTTTAGTTGTTAAACTGAATCGTCTGTTGTTGTTCTGGGTCTGTCGGTAAACAAAACAGTCGATTTTGAATTCTGTGTGCGTCAGCATTTTAATTTCTTTAAATTTATTAGGAAATTACGATAGGTAAGCATCCACGAATCTTTTAGTTATTTATTTCTTATTTGTTCTTCTTTATATTCATTGACCACAATAAATATATTTATCTTTCTTGCTTCTTATTATGTAGAGGAGATTAGCGATGTTTCTGTCCTTGGTTTTGAAGAGGTTATTTCACTGGTAGCAAGGGCTACTCAGCGAGGGTTTCAGGAAAGCAGGAGACAATAGACTCAAATGTGTCTAGTGTCGTCAACTCAATTATTCCTTTTGGAAGTTTTTTCCAGTACCTGATTGTCTTTGGCAGCATTGAGCATTTCTTGTGCTGTTATGAGCCGGAACTGCCTGTCATGGCCTCGTCAATGTCTATTTTGGGAGAGGGACGAGTTTCTGTTTAATGATGGAGCTGTGGAATATCCCATTGTCATGGAGAGCATTGATAATCGTCCCCTTTCCAACAATGATGACAAGTCCAGTGTTTCCAACATGCTGCCGACATTAGAGATGCTCCTGTAGCGGTTCAGGACAAAGCGTGCTGCACGAGGCTTGACCACCGCCAGCCTGACGTTGCTCCTCTGGGTGAATGGGTCCCAGACCGGAGATACGTAATCTAAAAGCGGCCGAACATAGGCTTTTTAATCTCTTTCTTATGCACCGGAGTTGCCGATCGTCACTGACACTGGTACACCTGAGACCAGTCTATCTAAGGCTTTGAATCCTAAGACCGGTCTAGTTGAGGCTAGTACACATTTGACTGGTGCATTTCCTTGTTGTTTTCTTTATTTATTAAGTTGAAGTAATTTATTGAATAATAATATCTGGTGCATACATCTATGGATTATTTGACTGCTTGTCCAAGAGGAAGTAATTCAGCAGCACTAGCGTTTTGTATCAATTTGCTCAGTTTAAAGGACATAACTTTATAATCTAGTGCATTCTTTAAGTGAGCTCCACCCTAACAGAAGGTAGGAAGGTATCGTTTGTCTTAAGGTCAGAACTCTTGTTGTCAAAATGTTGAATAACGTCTCCACAAATTTTGGGCTGGTTGAAAGACACAATTCTTATGTTTCCTTAGAATAACCTTTTTATATCATGTTTATGAAATTATTAAGCTTACTTTACTCATCCTGTAGGAATTTATGAGGTGGATAGAGATTAACCTATATGTGATCATAGCAACAAAAAGACTGTGGCCCTGATTTCTTTCTTCATTATTCAGCTTAAAATGGAAGACGACGACTTTTTGAAGTTTAGTAAGTAGAATCATTTCAATCACATCAGAACTGTTATTGTTGTTTTTTTTTTCTATTTTGTATTCGGGGTTCATCTGAATCTTATTGTAATACTGCGATGTAGTGTCAACAGTGGTACGATATCGTTAAATATGTAAGATGTTTTTAAATATCATTTTTGATAGACGTTTTCCAGAGAACAAAAAAATTGGGGGCTAAAGTGAAATGCCTGGATACGGAGATCTGGCTGATCAAAATAACCGTTTTGAAGATATGAAAAGGTGCAATGAAATGGCACGCACGGGTTCTTATTCCGTCTGGAATATTGCAAGACACACTTGTATGTGTTGAATGTGTTATATCGAATTATAATTTATATTTTAACACATGCAATAAAACAACCCCTAAAAACAAAGTTTGTCGAATAAATCCTTTATAAAATGTTATATGGAGCAATGGGGTAGGGGTTAAAATTTGGCCCAAAAATGCTTCCAAATAGCGCACTTGATAAGAATCACCAATAGTGCCCCCATACCCCAATCAGGACTCGCAACCACAGATTTTTTTCACGCCACTGACCTCCATTCATATTCTATTTCCAACTCGATTTTACACAGCTGATTTGTTTTACCAAATATTTTAGGAAAACCAAAGCAAAATATTACGCATCAAACACACTTGTGATGTTTTCTTTTTTAATGAATATTATTTCACGCCGTTGTTAGGGAATTTTATTTTATCTTCATTAAAAAAAAAGATAAGGAAAAACTAGATATGGGTGGTTTGGTTTGCAGGTGGGGCTAAAATTTGAAAGAATGTGTCGTCATCAAATACGAGTCTATGTGTCATGTTTAAGCTGGATAGGTTGCGGGAAGTGGGTCAGTTAGGCGTCCGAATTTTTTTTTGCCTGCAACCCAGCCAGCCACACAAGAAGAAAAGGAAGTTAGTATTAAAGATTTAGGAAGGGCCGTGTAATAAAAAAAGACGTTAGTACTTTTGAGATCTGTGACGGTATGTACCGGTATATTATAAACAGTCATGTGTAAGCACATTTTAGCAAATAATTTTGAGTTAAAGAACAAAATTCCTGGAAAATGAAAGTTGATTTTTGTTATAAAATTAATTTTGTGACCCCCTCAGTTTCATTGAGACGATGGTGTGTGTGTGGCTAATGGAAGCAAGTTCATGCTACGTCTGGGTTGGATAAAATGATGTTGGTCCTTCTGTCTTTGTTGTGTAGAATATGATACTGACGTCTTGACAGCGCCGGGAATACAAATTAACCTGTTTTATTTGACGATGTGAAGCTGCGTCAGGTCTTTTGGTTTGCGCGGCTCTTAGTGCAGAGTTCAACTGTGTTGGCCAGAAGCTAGTACAAGGTTGCCAACTTCACGTACAGGGGCCTTGACCTGAGAACCGGAGTACTTTGACTGTGAGAAAAAAAGTTGCTATACGATGAAAGAAGATTTTAACAGTATCGCATTATCGACATTGTTTAGCGCATAACTTCGGAATTACTAAACAATTACCACTTTAATTTTTTTTTTTAAAATTGTGTATAACCTTCAGATGTTGTTTTGCTTGACCTGAATTTATAGACCTTACCCCCCCCCCACCCATGGGGGGTGGGGGGTAGAAAAGTGCATAGATCCAAGTGCTTTTTTCCCCATTACCCAGACTTGTCTTTCTTCTTTTTGTTATAATGATTTTTCACTAGTCTGTTATTTCATTTTCTTTTTCTTCATGTTCTTTGGTCTCCAAATGCTATCTGTTCATGGTGTCTAACATACTGTTACGCTTTATTTTCCTGTGAATACCAGATTCCTCCAACCAACCAAAAAGCATGCGGAGATGTTCCAAGCGAATGTACCATCGCAATTTTTTCCCAGCACATTCCTTTTCGATTAATAATCTCCCAGAAGATCGTCGAGATGAGAATCTGCATGGTCTTATTCTATTGATGGCAGAGCTTACTGGGCTCATTGAGGTGGAAACTACTAGCAACGATAAAGGAACTGGGTCTATTCAACGTAGCATAGATAAAGGAACTGGGTTTATTCAACGTAGCATAGATAAAGGAACTGGGTCTATTCAACGTAGCAACGATAAAGGAAATGGGTCTATTCAACGTAGCAACGATAAAGGAACTGGGTCTATTCAACGTAGCAACGATAAAGGAAATGGGTCTATTCAACGTAGCAACGATAAAGGAACTGGGTCTATTCAACGTAGCAACGATAAAGGAACTGGGTCTATTCAACGTAGCAACGATAAAGGAACTGGGTCTATTCAAAGTAGCAACGATAAAGGAACTGGGTTTATTCAACGTATACGCCTCGAGCACGGTATTTGTCCGTGCCATGAGTGCAAAGACGAAAGCCGGAAGTTCGCCATTTTAACCGTGTCTACTGTCGTGCACATGTTTTCCGATATCGAATTGGATCATCACAATCGATACAAAATAAATTGGAATCCCAAATGTGTTACCATGACCTTAAAGTATAATTATAAGAATAAGTATGGAACCAAGAAAATCTATGGCTGGAAGTTATTGGAAAATGATAAGGACATTGATGAGCGGATGGACTGGTGCTGTATTGAGTTTGTGACACACGATTTAGAGTTGGTTGAAGAGCTGGACAGATATGTAAATAAATACCAGGAAAAGCAAGCAACGGTTTACAATAAATATAAAGATGAGAAAGATGTGAACCTAGTTGTTGTCGTAGGCCATCCCCACGGCGGAATTAAAAAGGTCAGCATTGGAAAAAAGTGGGTTACATTTCAGGGCGGAAAAAAGTGGGGTACATTTCAGGGCTTAAAGGAGCTCCGCGACACACAGAGATGGGGCTCTTATAACTATACCACGCCAACTTGCCCAGGAAGTAGTGGATCACCGATATTAATTCTGGGTCAACCTATTTGTGGATTTGGATACTGGTTCGGACATCCACATAATCATGCAGGTTTCGATAAAGACAAACAGATTCCAAATACTGAACTTTTTAATACAAGTTCAATTGGTGCAGAGTACGTAGTGGCTAATTGATGGTTTTTGTATCTAATCTACTTGTTAATTGCATTGTGTCACAAACATCAGCGCACAGAAGACTCAGAGTAGTCAAAAGATTGAAGAGTAGACAGCAGACACACAGCAGACTGCAGAGATAGGAGTAGGTAGGGGATCCAAACGCAGACACTATTCAAATGACTAGACAATATACACATGAGAAATGGCAGACGCAAAATCCTCTTTTTCCTTAGGCGTCGTAATAAATACCCTCCATTTGTACTATATATTGTTACACACATGGACACCAAATTACAACACATCATGAATGACATGGTGCGCAAATAATGATTAGAACTTGTTTTGTTTTTTTAATCAACGATACTACACACCATTCATTCTATCGTTGTTTGCATGCAAGTTTCACAGCAGAAAAAAAAAAAAAAAACTTAAAAAAACAATATGATAAATTAAATTTTTTTTAAAATTCTGCAGATATTAAAAGGGTATATCCCAACAATAGTTGGCTCCCCTAAAGCAATGCCCCAAACAATCATTGCCTCCTTTTAAGTATTGTCTCTTAAACTACAGCAGCCCACTAAGCATTTACTCCCCTTAAGCGTGATTTACTTAACAAATGTTGTTTTTGTTTTTTTAACTTGACTTTTGCTATTTAAGAACTTAAAGAAAATTTATTTTTTGGCTTTAAGCATGGATACAAACTGCCATTAAAAAAATGTAACTGATTTTTTTTCCTTCATATTGTTAGTCTAATGGATTGTATATCACATATTTATGTTCACCGTTTGACAGACACTTCAAGCACTATTAAACCGAAGTTATTGTTTTTTCTATTAATTATTTTTAGATTATTTTGATATCAGTCAATAATTGCTTTAGAATATTACATTATTTGGCTTAACCTTATAAAGTGTTATTTTTTTATAGTAATATAAATTATTTGAAAATGACTAAAATGTTTATAAGAGAATGATTTCTTTACCTGTCTTAACCATTGCATGTGGTTATAGTCTTCTGCATATCATTCATTTGTGTTGATGTTGAAGGGCCTCATGGGGGCCCATAAAGCAGCATGCCAAACCCTGTCGAAGACCCTCTTGTAATCCACAAACACGTGGTTTAGGTTTTGTTGGTGTTGAGCATATTTCTCACACAGTATTCGGAGGTTTAGGATCTGCTCAGTAGTGCCCCGTCCTTACCTGAAGCCCGCCTGTTCGTCAGCAATGATTCTGTCGGCATATGGTTTTAGTCGGTTCACTGTGACCTTTAGCATGACCTTGCTTGGGTGGCTTATTAGGCTTATGGTGCAATAGTTTTGGAATAAATAGACACTAACACCAAAATCAGGCTGATATGCTCATTAGTCCTTTTCATTTTCTTGTACGAATGTGAGCCCTGGACATTAAAAGCAGAACTTGAAATTAAAATAAAATCAGATGAGATGTTTCAGAAGCATTCTTTGAATCTGCTATATAGAGACCATACATCTAACGAGTAAGTGAAAGAACGAATTCGTCAATCAATTTGGCAGTGTCATAACCTCCTGGTGACTGTAAATATCGCAAACTGGAATTATATGACCACGTCACAAGAAAGCAAGGGCTAACCAAAGAAATCATGCAGGGCACAACGAAAGGAGTGAGATGAAGAGGAAGAAAGATAAAAAGATGGGAAGATAACATCAAACAGGGGACGGAACTAGAACTAGGCAATGCTGTGCTAAGTGCAGAAAACAGAGAGGAATGGAGGATAGTTTTCATGTTATCTGGGGCAGCCCAACGGTCCTAGCACTACAGGACAGGATGATGATGATGATGATGTCGTTGTTGTAGCCTGTTACTACTTATAACTACTTTAGCGGGTAATTTAAAATTTAGGTTTTTATTATTGATGTAGCCTTTGTAATAGTAATAAACTGTCTTGAAGCTTGTAATTATTTTATTTAGCCTAATAGATCAATTATTATTTCATGTATACTACATTCACAATGAGCACTGTAAGTCGAATTTGAGCTTATAAAACTTTCTCAACTGAACATTAATATATAATGTTTTACAAAATAGTTGAGTAAGGTAGAACAATGCAGTTCGCATGTTTAAAAGAATATGTATTGCAAACGTAATTTAAATGTCATTTGAGAGAAAATTAAACACGACCTCCATATCCACGTTGTTTTCATCCTCTATCTTATATCTCGTATTCTCTAGAACCTTTTCCAACAATTTATTACTGTCATTCAACAGAGGAGGAGGGAAAATAATATACATGCATTAAATATAAGCACAGATTGGGGGGGGGATCATTAGACTGATGGATGTGTAAAACTAAGGTTGAAGCAAAAACTACATTAGCAAGTCCGTTCATAAGCATTTACTTACACCCTCTATCTCTTTCAACTCCTCATTTGTTTCTAAGCACATCTCTCTAAGCACTTTAAGTAAGACGAGGACATGCTAAATTATAAACAACCAGCCAAACAGGCTCTAAGTTCGGAGAAAAAAAATGATTGTATTGAAATAAACTATATTTTAAAAAACAATAGCCGATAAACAAACAATTTCTTCTCCATTTTTGAATCCTGGGATACAATAAAAAATTTAAAAAAACACTGTAGTCACCGCATGCAAACAGGATTGTTATTGCCTGTGTGTTGACCTAATTTTACTTTATCGTAGAGATGAGGCGACTGCCACTGGTCTCCCCATTTCTTTTTCTTTTATTTTGAAGTCACCTATCAAATTTGTAGCGCTGTACCAACCACAGCCCTCCTTTTATGGGAACATGTTTTTTTCACTTTCTAACTATGTATCTTTCCTGGATTACACTTTTTTCTCGCTGTTTGAAAAATAATATATATATATATATATTTAAATTCTGAATATTAAAAAAAAAAATTAATTGTATATTTAAATGGAAAATCGTTCAAAGTAGCTATGGTATCGTCTTTCTTTGTAAACTGATTTTCCCGTCTTTTGTTACGTCTTGATCAAACAAGCGAACGAAATCGTATATAAATGTTTACATTTTTAAAAAAAAATTTAAACAGTATGTAACAGGAACTTGACAAAACACAACACAAAACACAACACAAAACACAACACAAAACACAACACAAAACACAACACAAAACACAACACAAAACACAACACTAAACACTGCAAGAGTCCCATAACAGAGTGACCACGAGGTAGCGAGACCTAGGCATGCAGCTGGGGTTATGTAACCAATGTAATTCAATACGTCGTAGAGAAGGTATTAATAACACAAGAGATCGATAGAGCACAGCATGAATGTGTTTAACGAAGCGAGACAGTGTCAGTTGTATCCAATAACGCATTTCAGTGTCCAACAGTGCCCTGTGCCTAGAAATACCCTTATGGGCAACAATAACAGGTTTTTATCTAAAACTGCACGGGTATTTAAAACACTAATAGGGTATGTGCAATACTCTTATTAAGCGCCTCTTGTTAACGGGCTAACAAATGGACATAAAGCGATTAGATTGTTTACATTGTTCAGTAGGAATCTAGTGTTCCTTAAAGTTGTTTTAAACAGTCCATTTTGAAGCATTCGACTGTGTTAAATCTAGGCATATACAACTCTGACAATTTACAATTATTTGTACCTATTAGAACCAGTGATGGCTAAACTGCGTGTCATATGTTATGTTTTAGCTGCAGCTGGTATTAGTATGTTATATCAGTGGCGTAGGCGAGTGTGGATAGGGTGGTCTGCACCGGGCGGCACTTCATAGAAAGGGGCGGTATATTTAGACAACTGCATGTGTTTTGTCGTGGAACGGTGGCATGAATTCTTATACTGCCCCATGCGGCACTAACCTCAGATACGCCACCGTAATCACAGTTACTAATTTTTCCAAAACCTTATTAAAATAAGTTAAGATATCATGAAGCAGTGGTTTAACTTTCAACATCTTATTTACTGGAAAAGCGGACACCCAGCTAACGAACGCCACGGTTAATAAACAAATGTGTTAACGTACAGACCGGTTAATGGGCAAATCGGTTACCAAACAAATCGGCTAACGAACAAGTTTGGTGGACATTTATTGGCTCTGTTAACGAACGATAATTCGGGTTACGATCATGCGCATACTTCTGTGCACCACCCTTCCTACTTAGCAGAGACAGCTTTGCCGGTTGGCAGTAAACATATTTTGTGATGCGCTTGAAAACAGTTCTTTTGTTACCTTTGGATTCTATTTCGGGGACGTTCTTTAAGGCCAAAAGAGAAAAGTATTATTTGTTTGAATTGTTTTAGTGAAGGAAAAAAAGTAATAAGAAAAATAAACATAAAATCACCCCCCAACCCTTATTTTGGGCACTTTTGAAATACTAACGGTAAAGAAACTAAATAAATGAAATAAAAAAAAATATTTTCATTTATTTAGAAGTATGAAGAAATCACAAGTCCTGTCATTTTTTGCAACATATTTCTTTTCAAATACGATATTGGAGCTAGTAAGGCCTTTGTACGAATTTAACTCCAGACCACCAGTTTTGAAAAGACTCATTTTCACATCAAACATTCAAGCATCCTTTTGTTTTTTTTTTTGGAACATTTTTAGAATTAAACTTAAAAATAATGCTATCAATGTGGACCTAATAAGATTCACTTTTTAAACAATCATTCGATTTGATAAATTGATTTTCTGATAGAATTAAAAAATATTTTTATATAGAATTTTAAAATATTTTTAGAGCTATTAAACATATTGCAATTGTTAATTTTTGTATTGCATATATTCATAATAAACTCTCGAAATAATTAGAGATAATACCAATATCCAAAAAGTGGCCAAGTGAAAGTAGTTGGCTTTCACCACTCATAGAAGGAGCGACAGACGCCCATGGCTCATGGAGTGACAGTGTAAATTTGGTAAATGTTCTATAGCGTTAGATTTTAAAAAAATAATAAAAAAAGGAAAAAAAAAGTTGTTAGTTTTATAAATAAAAGCAGCCTTGTGTAATCTGTAGTCTGGAGATAATGTTAGCGATACTATATTTCTGTGAAAATATGCCATGAAATTGCTTAGTGTTTTGTTGGCACAAACAAAGGGTATAAGGGCCAGGCATTTGCACAGTGATTTGTTGGTTAAAGAAAAAGGTACAAGTGCCAGGCGTTTGCGCAATGATTTGTTGGCCTAAACGAAGGGTACAAGTGCCATGTAGTTGCACAGTGATTTGTTGGTTAAAGCAAAGGTTACAAGTCCAAGTCATTTGCGCTGTGATTTGTTGGCCTAAACAAAGGTTACAAGTGCCATGTAGTTGCACAGTGATTTGTTGGTTAAAGCAAAGGTTACAAGTCCAAGTCATTTGCGCTGTGATTTGTGGGCCTAAACGAAGGGTACAAGTGCCATGTAGTTGCACAGTGATTTGTTGGTTAAAGCAAAGGTTACAAGTCCAAGTCATTTGCGCTGTGATTTGTGGGCCTAAACGAAGGGTACAAGTGCCATGTAGTTGCACAGTGATTTGTTGGTTAAAGCAAAGGTTACAAGTCCAAGTCATTTGCGCTGTGATTTGTGGGCCTAAACGAAGGGTACAAGTGCCATGTAGTTGCACAGTGATTTGTTGGTTAAAGCAAAGGTTACAAGTCCAAGTCATTTGCGCTGTGATTTGTGGGCCTAAACGAAGGGTACAAGTGCCATGTAGTTGCACAGTGATTTGTTGGTTAAAGCAAAGGTTACAAGTCCAAGTCATTTGCGCTGTGATTTGTGGGCCTAAACGAAGGGTACAAGTTCCAGGCATTTGCACAGTGATTTGTTGGCCAAAAAAGTGTACACGTGTCAGGCATTTGCGCTGTATTTGTTGTCCCAAAGAAAGGTTAAAACTTCCAGGCAGTTGGACATTGATTTGTTACCCAAAACAAAGAGTACAAGTGCCAGGCAGTTGCACAGTAATTTGTTGGCCAAAAGAAAGGTTAAAACTTCCAGGCAGGTCGACAGTGATTTGTTTGCCATAACAAAAGTTACAAGTTACAGGAATTTGCACAGTCATTTGTTGGCCAAAAAAGTGTACACGTGCCAAGCATTAACGCTGTGATTTGTTGTCCAAAGAAAGGTTAAAATTTACAGGCAGTTGTACACAGTTTAGTTGGCCACAATAAAAGGTACAAGTTCCAGGCATTTGCACAGTGATTTGATAGCCAAAACAAGCGTTTTTTTTTTTAATCATAGAAAACAAGTGCCAAATCTTAAGACTTTGCAACCAGCTGATCCTGGTTGAATAAATATTTGCCCGAAGAAGTGTAACTGATAGTTTTGTAAGACATGTTGAGTCTTCTGGTTCAGATTTAGAAGAATAAAAAAGATTTCCAAACACTGAGACCATCTAAAACATAATGATGTCCATGCCGTTACCAGTAAAAAGGGCAGAAACATGTTTTTTGATGAAATAAAATTAATTCTTTTCCATGATCGAATGAGAGCTTTTCATTTTAGTAAAGTAAGAATTTTTTTTTAAATATTTTTTTTTTCAGAACGTATACATTTTAAGCGCATGACTACATTTCGATTACATCAAAGAATAGTAAGAACTTGTGATTAATTTTTTTGTGTAACTTTTAAAATTCTATTCTGCATTTAATGTATTAAACTAGTTACAGCTGTGTCTATATTTATTTACTGTCATTTGGAAATTGTGAATGTCTTATAACTTATTTTTTTAAACATTTTTTGAAAAGGGCTTGAGGAAATCTAAATATTTCTTAATTAATATATTTGTCTTCTATACATGAAGAAATGTAAGGTAACTATCATTCTTTCTTCAGTGTTAACCTAAATGAAAGTAGGGGTGAAAAAAGAAATATTAATCTATTTTAAGACAGTATCTGCCACCTTCCATGAAATTATAAATCCTTGATAAAGGGCTCTAATTTGTTACTCTGATAAATTCTTGTATCATTTGAGTGCCTCTCTTTTTTATATTTTTTTCGAAAAGGTTCCACCTATTCAGTCCCAGATGAATAGATCTAGCTTGGCCTGTATTACGATCTTCAGAACGTTAAGATCTATTAATCTTAAGATATCCCGCTATATTCTGCCAGACATTTTGTTGTCTCAATTTCTTGAAGTGTTTTTCTGCCACATAAGCACCCTAAATTATAAGAACAACTGAAGCACTCTTCGATTTCCTTATTCTTTATTCACAAATTCCACACATGGTATTATAATGCACAAAATGGTATCATCATATACAAAATGGTGTCACAAAATGGTATCATCATATACAAAATGGTGTCACAAAATGGTAGTATCATATACAAAATGGTGTCACAAAATGGTATCATCATATACAAAATGGTGTCACAAAATGGTATCATCATATACAAAATGGTGTCACAAAATGGTATCATCATATACAAAATGGTGTCACAAAATGGTATCATAGATCACAAAATAGTGTCATAATACACAAATTGGCATAATAGGACACAAAATGGTATCCTAGTAAATAAACTGGTATCATAGTACACAAATTCGTATCATAGTACACAAAATGGTATCATAGTGCACACATTTGTATGATGAAAAACATAGTGCTACCATAGTACACAAATAGGTATAATAGTACACACTATGTTATCAAAGTACACAATTGTACCGATATCATAGTACACACAATTTTATTTTAGTACACAAAATGTTATTATAGTACACACATTAAATTTATAGTACCCAAGAGGTACCATAGTACACAATATTACCTGTATATTAGTACGTAAAGTGGTACAATAGTACAACATGTGATATCATAATACACAAAATAATATCACAGTACACAAATTGGTATTATGAAACACAAAGTGGTAAATTGTACACAAATTGGTATCATAATACACAATGTGGTGTCATGGTACACATAATGGTACCGGTATGAAAGTACACAAATTGGTATCATAGTACAAAAATTGGTATTACAGTACACAGAATAGTATTATAGGACACAAAGTGGTATCATATTACACAAAGTGGTATCATAGTACACAAAGTGGCAACATACTACACAAATTGTTATTATAGTACACAAAGTAGTATCATTGTACACACTGTGGTATCATAGTTCACAAAGTTGTATCATAGTACACAAAGAGGTATCATAGTACATAAAGTGGTATCATAGTACACAAATCCAAGGAACACATATCACCAACTTGATGACTGTTAAACTCTCAGACAACTAGCTAAAACTGCAGTCCGTCTTCTCGACCGTTCTCTCTTAGTCTAATTCATCTCTCCACCGTTCAACCGATTTCTAACGCTCTCCCTAAAAGAATACTCATCAATAACACACACCAGAAAGCCAACGCCCGGATCTAATCAAGGAATGGGGATTGGGTAAAAATATATGATCCCGTGAAATGAAATAATTTGATATTGCATTTTAACCTTGCACAATGGTATGCTTTAAGGAACGAACAGACGAACCATACTCTATTATGATAAATATTTCATTAGAAATAATTTATTTATAATTGAATTTTATAAACACATTGTTTTTACGTCGATAATAAATAAAGAGTGTTATTATTTGAATTCCATATGTTTCTTTGTATCTGTTAATTGAATATCTTATAGATAACGCTTTATATAATTAAATAGATTTCAAATGGTCTGTGGATTTGTAAAGCACTCCTTATACGCACAAGGGAACTTTTTTCAGCACAGTGATATCATCATATCTTTGAAGAAAAATTGTGTGAGGTGATTGGAAAAACAATTGTGTGCAAGCACTGGACACAAATATACGTTGCATATTTTGTGACAATTTAGGACAAATCTATTGGTTAAAAAGGGAAATGTCACCTTGTTTATTTCAGCTTTAAAAAGTCATTTCTGTCATGCGGTTTTAAAATGCAGCCATTAATTTTAATTTAAGATAAGTTTGAGCTCACTAATAATATTTTTGAGGAAATTTATTTTATATACAAGTGATTTATTTTTGATTTTGTGAATCATTACACAATGTTACACTGGTGGAAAATTTGAAAAATCTTAGGCTTTGCTGGAGTCTTCTGAAATTATCAACGTAATATTAGTCTTAAATTAGTTTAAGTATCGTATTAATGACTCATAAAGGGTTAATTTCAGTCATTCATCTTTGTTTATGGTGTCAAAAGGATAAATATTTATTTTGAATACTGAAGATATTAACAAAACAATATATATACTTTCATTTAGTATCCTACATATAATAATTTCATATAAAATATCAGAGATGATTTATTAACGGAGAATTGTGTAGATTGAATTCAACAAAGTCCAAGACCAAGTCAACAGTCAGCAAAGAGGAAGATCAAGTCAGCAATGACTGAAGTAAAACAACAATGTATTTTTTTTAGTTTCTGCCATCCTCTCTGTGCTCTACACCAATTGAACTCAATGATTGTTTTGAATGATTATGTGGATGTCCGAACCAGTACCCAAATCCACAAATGGGTTGACCCAGAATTAAAACTGGTGATCAACTAAATCCTTGGCAAGTAGTAGCGTCGTATTTGTAACGGCACCATCTCTGTGTGTCTCGGACCTCTTTTAAGGGTTTCCTTTCAGCCATTGTTTTACTGAAGCTTAATTGCTTTTGAAGCCCGTGTGGGTGTCCAATTATTATAACATGGCCCTTGTATTTGTGATCCTGTTTAAAATAATTATAAACGGTTTTCTGTAAGTCCTGGAATTCTGTCAAAGTTTTCTCCAGGTCTGAAACTAAGTCCATTTTATGCGACACAAACTCGATACAACACCAATCACTATTCACGTCAATGTCTTTGTCCGTGTCCGAGATTCTGTAGCCATAGAGCGATGGGCATTTCTCAGGATCTTTAGTTTTGTCATCATAATCTAGTATCATTTTAACAGTCTCACGTATAAACTTTACATCTATTGTGGACTTACAACTTTCTGGATCTTCATGAAGCACGTGAAGGGCAGTAGCGACACTCAGGATGGCGTAGCGGCGTGTATTAGTGTGGTCTTTACACTCTGGACACGGGCACCTTCCGAGCACACGGCGTATCCTTTGAATGAATCCAGTTCCGGTTCCCTCTCCGGGAATAAGCAGATCTTTAAAAGTCACAGAAATCAATCCAGTCAATTTCACCATTTTTAAAATCAGATCATGCAAATGCATATTTGATCTAACCGGCTTAAGCATCTCTTTTAAATCATCACTATTTACTGGTACGTAATATTTATCCTTTTCACATTCTTTTCCTTTTTCCTTTAATCTCTTATTATCAAAGTCTTGATTGGCATTTGCTTTCTCACCTGCCAATAAAATTTAAAAAAATTAAAAATTATTTTCATTTATAAGTAAGTGTCACAACTACAATCACAATCTAGTTATGAGTTATAATAACAGAAGCATTGTGGATCAAGTGATAGTGACTGTACTTTATTATATACTTAACACATGATCCCAATAATTATAATAGTTAAAACTTGAACTAGAAATAAGAGCAAATATTTATGCTGAAAATACTGATCCTAAAACACTTGGGATATAGCTTCTCGGTAAACTTCTTGGTACTTTCTCACCTTGATAAAGATATCACTATGACCATATCTTCTTACATAAGAATTGTAACTGTCACCATTTCTTAGTTCCGTTTTCTAAACAAAGACGTGATGTTTACATTGAACACACAGGCTTGAGAACTCATCTTGCTGCATTAAAATATATATAAAAGACAAGTTTGATTAATGCAAGGCGGCCATTGAAGGTCTATGTGACCATCGATAAAATTTGTACACACGAGGTACAGCACAAAGTCTTTCTTCCTGCTGTCTGTTTATAACAGTGTTGCATGCTGTTGACGCTGTTGCTTTTGGACTCATATACTTAAGGAACCTGATCTTGCAAATCTTTGTATGGAAATTAAATAATTTTCTGTTGTCAAAATGCAGACGAGGGTAGAAAGAGTTAAGAAATGCCCTACACCATAAGAAGAGTGCATTTCATTGAAAACGCCATTTTCAAATCAGACTAATGTCTGAAGAAAGAAAACTAGTTTCAAGAAAATGGCATGAGATCAGAGGACGCTCGACGCATTTGCAATATAAATCAAGAGGGCACATTTAAAAAAAATCTTTTTATCGTTTTCATGATGTACTCAAGATTAGATCCAGAGCCATCAAGGAAGTAGCAGATGTGTTTTGAGGTGCTCAAGCTATGAGTCTTATGTTGTGTACGGAAGAAAAATGACCTTGTCAATTCTCAAACTTACAACCTTCTATGACGAGTTATATGAATTGTGAGCTTTCAATTTAAATATCAAGGCTGCGACAATTTCCGGACAGGTTGACACCAGTCGCCTCTTGTTATTGGCAGAACATTAGTACATAGAATATGTTTATGCCAGGTGTAAATGTCGTGTGCACATAGAGGTCAACATTAATTTAGAAATCTTTATAATGTCATCAATTCATACTATTGGAACGTTTTCCCACTGGCTAATGTAATGTAACTAAAGTTGAATAAAGACCAGAAAGCGTTCAAATTGATATGGCTTAGATACAAAGCAAATCAAGTTCTTTTGGCTTAGAGACCAAACAAATCAAGCTATTTTGGCTTAGAGACCAAGCAAATCAAGTTATTTTGGCTTAGAGACCAAGAACATCAAGTTCTTTTGACTTACGATTAAGCACGTGTAGTGTTTTGGCTTAGAGACCAAGAACATCAAGTTGATTTGGCTTAAAGACGAAGAACAGCTAGGTGATTTTGCCTTGAACTGAGCAACTCAAGTTCTTTTGGCAAAAGGCCAAGCACATCAACTTTATCTGAATTTAAGATCAAGCACATCAAGTTAATTTTGATTAGAGACCCAGAACATCAACTTGATTTGGCATAGAGTCCTTAGGGAAATTTATCTACCACATTTACAAGTGGAAATTTCTATGTTGTTTTATTTAAAGATACGCTTTTCCTTGTACTTCTTGTTCCCCAACTATTTTTTTGGAAGCTTGTTCCAGTCCCCTGATTGTCTTTTTCATAAATACGCAGCAATCTCTTCTGTTGTGAAATTCAAATGCATGTTCAAATAACCACATGCTACATGCTACTCTATATCAATGATAAAACCCAAACATATTTTTTTAAATTAAATTATACACAAAATTGATATAGATAAAGATGATTCCACCTACCAACTCCGATCCAGACAGGTTCTGCCATTCGAAATTGAAAATAAGAGAAAATATCAATCTGGGCTGGGGGCTGTATGTTGTTTGAATCACCAACAGATTGAAGATTTTTTTCACCCGATAGAGTCCTATTGATTGTTAAAAAGTGTAGAATTATTATTTCATAATCAATTTAAATGAGTTGAATAATTTGAAATACACGAAGGATTTCTCCCCCCCCCCCCACGCCAGCCTAGATACTTGTTATGACGAGATTAAGCCTTAGAACATTTTAGGAACAATTTCTGAACTCTAGAATTACAGCCCATCGATCCTTCCTGTTGGGACAGACTTAAACAAAAAGAATACGCTCGATTACATTAGTTTGTCTCGTATGGAACAGTATTCGATACCAGAGAGGAGTCTCACTAGTTGGACGCTCTGCCGAATACTCAATTGAATCCGTGCACCAGATCTCAATAAATTAAATCTACCATGTCAACGTAAACAGAAAGAAATTGAAAAGTCATCATATCAGTCCAAGGTGTACCCGTCTCAGGTAGACCGGTCTCGGGTGTACCAGTCTCAGGTAGGCCAGTCTCAGGTGTACCAGTCTCAGGTAGATAGGTCTCAGGTGCACCAGTCTTAGTTGTACTCTTCTCAGGTGTATGAAACCCAAGTGTAACCGTCTCAGGTTTCAGCGTGTTAGTTGTACCAAACTCAGATGTTTCAGCTTAGGTGTACCAATCTTATGTTTATCCGTCTAAGTTGTACCATATTCAGTTGTACCAGATTCAAGTGTTCCAGACTCAAGTGTTTCTCTGTCTCTGGTGTACTATTCTTGTATGTACCAGTTTCATGTAAGCAAATTGTTTGTAGGTGCCTGTCTCAGGTATAACAAACTCAGGTGTACCAGACACAGGTGTACTAGTCTCATATGTATCAGTCCCACATGCACCGGTTTCAGGAGTACCAGTGACATAGGTATAGTTCAGTTGTAACAGAATTAGTTTTACTTTGCTATACGTTACATTACGAATGAAACGTTATTGAAATCCGATATTTTAAGTTAAGAGTGCGTCAGGAAGCCTATCGCTGGTCATATATAACAGCTCTGTATTGAAAATCAATGAATCCAAATAGTATGTGCCCTGAGTGTATTTTTAAATAGCTTTCATATGAGCAATGATCTGTTGAATGAGTCACAACCCATGTGTAAACACATAATCCTGCTTATATTGATTCTGTGTAATGTGGGTACTGAGTTCTGGTTTAAGCCATATGAAAGTATGTAAAAACATATGGGTTTTTGTGTGTCAATAATTTGGGTTGGGGTGCGAATCAAAACAGCGGACGCTTCTATTGCAAGCTTTCCATGGGAAACATCAGAAAGGAAGCATACTAACGTAACTTAGCGTAGAAGAAGTAGACCGGACGTTTTCAAGTCTATCAACAAATCTTCCCCTAGAAAGATACCAAGGACGTTTAAGGATTTGGGGTATTTGGTTAGCAGGACATATCATCATCAAAGGAAATAATAGTAAATTAGTTAAATTAAAATTAAACTAAAATATGGGATATCTAAGTTTGCTAATGGGTGCTGGGTGGCCGAATGGTCTAAACTGAGCAAATCTCAAGTTGGTGGTCTGGAGTTCAATTCCAAACCAGCTTATAATCCTTGAAGTATAATCCCAGGCCATGTGGATTTCGTCCTCCGAAGCCCACTCCATCGTCACATTGTGACGGACGGATGCCAGCAAATATAATGGGAGAGCACTGAGTTGGTGAGTCGGTGAAAGGGACCTTTATCAGGAAAGGGGGAAAAAGAGACGGGGAAAATATTATTCCTGAACACGATCCTCAAGATATGTTATTATCAACTAGAAGATATGACCCGAAGTTAACGGGTTATAATGGTAGACAGTTTGCAATACTTCATGACTGCTATTGCCAAGTCACAACATCTATCAATCAACTGTTTAAAAATAAATAATATTTAAAAAACTATGACAATATTCCAGGCCCTTGTAAGTATATTTTGCAAATATTTAATCAGAATTTCCGTATTTTAAAATGAAGTATCTATATTTGATGTTTACGTCTAATATCATTTTGTTTTACGAAATATTACTCTGCATTATAATCATATATTACTACCCTACCGATTTTTAATAATTCTGATTTTACAACACCAAAAAAAAAAAAAAAAAAAACAATACAACTCTTTTGATTTCCATCAACAAATTTAAATACCACTTGAAATATAAGTACCGTTAGCGGAATTTGATATTTTGATATTTTCATGAAAAGATTTTAGATAACTGAGAGCATTGCAAAAAAAAAAAATTTATTCAGTAAGGTTTACTTATTTTTAACTTCAATTTTTTAGGCTTAAACATCGAACCAAAAAAATGTATTCTCAATACAACATGCAAAAGTCGGCTTTAAGGAATTTGTTGTTGTAGAATTTTTGAACATGCTAAAAATCGTCTATAAATGACGAAACAATGATACCCTCGCTCAATTAAAAAGTGGAGGTCGCCACTTTGATAACGAAATAATGATACCCTTATGAAGCTAAGTTGCGTTGCATTATCTGCTGAAGACTTTTATCCGAAACATCGTCGTGTTGTAATCTCATTCCTAACATTTTCTCCAACTCTGTGTGATATTTTGGGGGGGGGGGGGGGAAATGGGGGTCATTAAGTAAAACCGTTCCCTTTTAAATGAAGAGAAAGTTTCTTAACATTTAAAGAAGAAGAAATTTATTTTAAACTTATTTTAATTTGGTTATAAAAAAATAGTTTAAGTGGAATCTCTCCCTTCAACACGCACACACCATCACGGTAGCCAATGGATTTGGCCGTGAGGGGATACAACAAACAGAATTTCAACTGATTCATTATATCAATTAAACTCAATTTACAAGTCTAAAGGAACATTACTTGAAACGACCAAAAATACAGATGTATTTTACCATTTCTGGGAATACATAACGCTGTCACCCACCTTTCAAAGAGATCTGTCGTTATGTTTTAAATAATTCAGTTCACTTAATGGATGGTGTGCTTTGTTCAGTTGACAGCACACTAAATTGTACAAAGTGGAAGCACACCTTTTAGTTGAAGCACTATATATACTCGAAAAGTGCGTATAATGAGAACACCATTTATCTAATAGAAATATTATTTTTTACACAAAACTCCTGAACCGTGCACAAATAAACCGTTACATCCCCTCTCTTTTCACAGGCCATGTACCTTTGTGCATTGTTTACTGATATATCCAACAATTCTTTGAAATATAAGTCATGCAAGCAAAACTAGCTAAAACACAAATTCAGAGGACGCATGGGACCTACATGGCAAAATATCAAGAATTTAATCTTAGAGAATAGTTAATTACGAGATTTTATTGTTTTAACTGTTGTATAGTGTTACGGTAGTCAATTACACACTTAGCACATACATACACAAACACCTTGACTGAGAACTTCCTTTAACTGTTACCTGTGCACGAGGCACGTCGATAATCACGCATGATTCTGGTACTCTCTACCTTTCTCTCTCTCTCTCTCTCTCTCACTATATGACACGTGACTCGTAGTCTGGGATCATTGATGCGTAGCTTCACGCAACGGTTGTGTAGTGTTCCTGTCCTAACGATTTCATAGAAGTCGACTGTTTTATATTCTGATCTATCCATATGTAATATTATATTTTCCTTGTGTAAGCAAGGCTCAATGCAACTCAACTCTTCTATTAACATGGTTTGAATTGATTATTCGTTTCAAGAATAAACAAATGATTGAGATAAATTGTGTATACATAATCTGTAAGGTGATTAGATAGATTAAAATAGCAACTTCATTTCACGCCTGTCATTCTATACACATGTATCCACATTTTATCCCCAGTATTGACGTTGAACACCGACTTTTTGTGACGCCATCATCAGATCTGAGATGGCCTGGGCACATGATAATCGGACAGTAAGCCTCGATTCTCTTCAATGATAACCTGATGATTTTGAGTAGTTCAACGCGTAAGCTGAGGTTCTCTTCAATGATAACATGCCGATTTTCATTTTCCAATTGTAAGCTTAGGTCCTTGTTACGAACCTAGTTCTACCCAAAGTTTCGATGGCTTCGTTGTCTAGGGGTTTAATTTAATTAACTTTACAACCATTAAATACATCTCAACTGCCATTACTCCAAGAAAAGCACTATGCCATAATAAAACGTCACATCCCCTTTCATACAATACGTCACACAATAATAAGCCTAATATATAAAATGACACAAATAATCTCTAAACAACATGCAAAAACAGTATTAAGTCCTTAATATTCCTCCCGCGCTTCGTTTGACATTAATTTGATAAAATCATGTCACCCACAAATAAATATCGCAAAATTTGTCAATAAACATCAACAAATAAACAAGAGCAAGTGCCAAATGTAAACCAATCAATTGTGTTATAACATTTTAAATTAAGCGACATGGATATTAAATCACAAACCAACTTATAACACATTACAGCACCAAATTTTTTAACTAACCTGGCATCTTTTCAAAATAACATACTGAATATGACAAACTTCAATGATAAAGTTTAACTTCTGTATATTTAGATATTATATACTCTTATAAATTATGAAAAATTAGTACATTGAAAATTGTTGATCACAAAACAAACTCTGCGTGTTAGAGGGTAAATATGTCACCACCCATGAACTCATGTGAACATTCCTAAATGTTCCAGTCCGATGTTAACATTTAAAAGAGTGTGGCGTATTACGCCTCACAAAAAGCGAGCACATTTTTCCAGCAGCTCAAGTCTTCCCTCTCAATTCTCACGTGTTTCATTACACTTGGTCTTTTAAAACATTGTTGACCAACAAATAAAAAAATTGTCATCTTTAAATTCTTAAATATAACAATATCAGAATTATCAAAATTGTAATAATTAAAACAATCAGAGTGGTGACCGCTCTCTTGAAATAAATCAATTATAATGACAACAACATCAACAAACTCACCTCCCAACTCATGGAAAACGCACACCTTCTCTAAAAAAAACGAAAAACGGAGCTACCATAGCTGTCAAACTATGAGCACTCCTGGCTCTCATGATATAACAGATTACAGATATCACACACATGAACATACAAACTAATTTTCTCTCCTACCCGCGTCTCAGGGAAAAAAAAACTCACACCCTTCAAGAAATGTTCATAATGAGTATTAAAAACGTTAATCTCAGAACCATCACGTTTCTCAGTCCTCGGGCAACCCGTGTCTTCAACACCACAAAATTCACCAACTGGACTACTACCCTCGTAGCTCCACGTAGGGTCATCTCCGGTGACTTCTACTTTGTTGAACTTAACGTACCCTTAACAAGCTCACCACCTCTAATTCGTGATCTCCATCTCCGTAGCTTGTCCAATTCTTAATATCATTAACATTTACCTCTTTTGCCAAACAAATATCTACTTGCTGTATAAAATTTAGAAATCCCTCTTGTACCAAACCAACATCTCCTTGCTGTACAAAATCAAAAATCCCTCCTGTACTAAACTAACATCTCCTTAATTTACAAAATCAACAAATCCCTTTTGTATCAAGCCAACATGTCCTTGCTGTACAAAACAACAAATCCCTCTTGATCCAAACATTTAGGACCCTGCTGTACAAAATCAACAAATCATTCTTGTACCGAATCAACATCTCCCTGCTGAATGTGATGAAATTTATAAATTTTTATTGTGTAAATTCCCATTTTTATTATGTTTCTTTTGCAGATTTTTGTTTCCTCAACTTTCATCTATGGATTTATTATTAAAAACATTAACTTGTTCTACAATATTGGGAAACATTTAAAAAGATACCTTTACATTTGTTTTTTTTTTTTTTTGTTTCGATTAAAAATTTTAATTCTGCAGTAAATTTTTAGTTTTTGTTAATATACCTTGCTGAAATTATTTTTTTTGAATATTTAATTTTTTTCACCTTTGCCTGATAATTTCAAATTGATATGCTTTAAATTTAATATTACTTGACTCCTATATTTTTAAAATTGCTTAATTTATATTGTTGTTTTCAAATGAATTAAAATGGACCTTTTTTCACCTTTTTAATATTTTGTAAAATTCTGCTTGGGTAATGTTTGTTGTTGAAATAAATGTGTATTTACATTATTGTGACAACCCTAAAAAGCTGTATTTGTTATATGTATAACTGGTTGTGTGAGCAAGAGATTTTAAAGTTCCAAATAAGTTATTTTAGAAGAAAGAGTGCACCAAACTACGATTATGAGTAGTACATGTCATCTGAAACTTCCACGCATAGTCTTATACTTATCACACAGTAAATGGCTCTATTTAGGTTATCAGTATTTTATTTTCAATGTGGCATGACTTAGTTGCCTTGAAACCAAACTGCCTTCACAGATCACATATTTGCTCCCACTCAATCATTACTTCTGTACTTAAATGAAAAAATAATACAAACAATAGTCATCTGTACCGGTACCAACAAGGAAGGCGAGAGAGTAAAGGCAAAGGAAAGATGTGACCTAACTAAATGAGTTTATTGGCTGCCAAATCTATACTGGCCCCTAATTTTTTGTATGCATTACTGGAGTACACAGCTCAAATAACAAACAACTAAAAAAAATTTTCTCAAGCCAGATAAGGTTTTTTTTCTATTAAATTTTAAATTATGTACCAGTGTGTTAAACGCAGTAGACAGGTATTTAAAAAAAAAAATACTAGTCCTTTAAATATAAGTCCCTTTCTCATGCTTTATGCAATGGCATCCTTTAAGATGTTTATTCCAACAACCCTGTGAAATAGAATTAGGTCAAGTCAAGTATGAGAAAGATTATTGAAAGGATATTCGGGATATCATGACAAACAGTCAGTGCCTAAAAAAGGTTTAAAATTGGTGGTTTTGTTCTGATTAAGCCAAGCTCTCTTTAAAGAAATAGCTGAAATCAATTCATTATGAATGAAATTTTCATTATTTAGAGTATCTGATTAATTAATAAAGTACTATGTGATTAAAACTTTTACTTTTAACTTAAACAATACACATAAATAATCTCAAATAGAGGATTTAACTTTAATAATTAAATCAATATTATTGCTTATTTAAAATTAAAATTTCAATGAAAACAGTAAATCTATCTAAATCATCTTGATTACTAGATTTAAAAAAAAAAATGATTTATGAAAACGGCTTCAACTAAAAAAAAAAATAAAAGAAAGAAAAAAAAAAAACCGGAACAAAGAAATTTAACAAAGCAAAAAAAAGAAAAAAAACTAAAAGAATAAAACTATGAATCTATGAAATAACAAGGAGGAAAAAAAATATTATCATACTATAAAAAAAATTAAAAAAAAAAAAGAATTAAAAAAACAGATTCAAAAAAAAAAAAAAAATAATAGAAAGAAAAAAAAAATACCGGTACTAAGAAATTTAGCAAAGCAAAAAGAAGAAAAACAACTAAAAGAATAAAACTATGAATCTATGAAATAACAAGGAGGAAAAAAAATATTATCATACTATTATCCAAAGCCCTTTAATCTATAGGAGCCACTACAGCTCCGAATATGCACTTGCGGCTATGGGCACCTCGGTACCTATAGCCGCAGCCATTAGAAATTTTGTATATTTTTAAAATTGTAGGTTTAATGTATGTGTTATTTAACGCCAAACACAATTTTTGGGTTAATTAACTTCTGTCCTATGTTTTTATATCTATTTATATTCCAATAATAATCACAATTGGTATTCAATGAAACTTACATGATAAGATTTATTAAGTTCAAAAATATAATTGTATACTATTAAGAAAAATATTTGTTTTTACATTATTGATTTCCTTGTTAATACTCAATTGTTAATAAATACCAGCGAATAGTGCAGAGGATGTATCTTAGAGAGTATATCAGAAGTTATATGTTAGTGATATTGTGTATTTAATATTACAATATTATGGTATTTTAAAATATCGTCTTGTTTATTAGAACAAATAGTAGAGTTTCTATAACAGTGTCAATTTCCTGAGACTATATTGCAGTCTGTCTATGGTATTTTCCATATAATTATACAATGATACATTTTATGACTTAATTATAAATCCTTTATTTTAACTGCTAATCATTGCACTTAAAACTGAAAAACAAATATGTTCATAATATTATTCACATTGAATTTAATGTCTTTTCATTTCTGAAGAAAAAATGCAACTCATTTTCTCTTTAAGATTTTTTTGTTTCTTTTTGTATTTTGTTTCTCAAGCTTTCATCCCAAAAGAACCAAATTGACCAGAGTGTAAAGTTGATATCAAGCTTTCATCCCAAAAGAACCAAATTGACCAGAGTGTAAAGTTGATATCAAGCTTTCATCCCAAAAGAACCAAATTGACCAGAGTGTAAAGTTGATATCAAGCTTTCATCCCAAAA